GCCCAGCCTCTTCGGACAGCCTGCTGGACGCGTGTCCCGCGGGGTGCGCCACAGGCAGCTGGGGACTGTGCCAGGCAGCCACCGCCCAAGAATGGCGGGGCAGAGTCCACGCGTGAGCTGCAAGCGAGTGGGGCCAGGGGCTCCTGCCCCCCGTCTCACGCCAGACCTCCCCTGGCAGGACCCTGCTTTTCGCCCTCCCCAGGCGGTTGAGAAGGTGGTGTGTCATTTCATCCACGAGATCGAATCCCTGGACCTGGACCCGGTCCGCAAGCACAGCATCACCTGCTACTGCACGTGGAGCCCCTGCCCGCTCGCGGCCGAGCGCCTGGTGAGCTTCCTGAAGGCCCACCGGCACGTCAGCCTGGCCCTCTTCACCGCGCGCCTCTACTACCACTGGCGCGGGGGCCACCAGGAGGGGCTGCGGCTCCTGGCCAAGGCCGGCGTCCACGTGGCCGTCATGACCGGCAAAGGTAGGAGCGGCCATTGCCCTGGACCGCAGGGGGCGGGGCGGGGCCTGTGACGTCATCCCTTCGCCTCTTTCCCAGAGTTTGCCGACTGCTGGGAAACCTTCGTGGACCATCAGGGAAAGCCTTGTGCCCCGGACGTTCTGCATGCCCTGGATTCCCGCAGTGAGAGCATCGCAAGGCGGCTCCAGCGGATCCTCGGAGACACCCCGGTGAGAGCTGTCCCCGCGGTCTCCTCCTCCTCCTCCTCCCATCCGGCTTCAACCTGCCATCGCTCCCTCCCAACTCGTCCCACACACAGACCACGCATAGACCACACACACCACACACGCACCACGCATAGAACACACGCAGACCACATGCACCACACTCACACCCCACATATAGATCACACACACCACATAAACCATAAACACCACGCGTAGACCACACACAGCACACACGCAGACCACACCTGCACCACGCATAAAACACACACAGACCACACACACACACACCCCACATACAGATCACACACACCACACACAGACCACACACAGCACACACGCAGACCACACCTGCACCACGCATAGAACACACACATACCACACACAGCACACACACAGACACACAAGCACCCTGCATAGACCACACACACACCACACACGCAGAAATACACACCACGCACAGACCATACACACAGACCACACACACCACACATGTACCACGCAGCCACATAGACCACACACAGCACAGACCACACACATACCTCGCAGACCACACACAACGCATAGACCACACAGACCACACATGCAGACACACACACCACACATAGACCACACATAGACCACACACACACAGACACACATACCACACATAGACCACACATGCACACCCACACATAGATCTCACACACCACATAAGCCACACACACCACACATAGATCACACACCCCACACATAGATCACACACAAACCATATAAACCACACACACACCACATATAGACCATACACACACCCCACACATAGATCACACACACACACCACATAGACCACACACATGCAGACACACATAGACCACACACATGCAGACACATAGACCACAGACACATCACACATAGACCACACACACACACACACCATACACCTATTACACACACCTACCACATACACCATACATACTGTTTTAGGGTACAAAAGAGAGGCCAATCTGGAATACATTAAGGAGGACATTTATTGAGTCTTAATGGGGACAAAGACAGAGACATCATCTGAATGAGGGAGGCCCTTGGCATGAGGTCATATGGCATCTGAGGTCACAGCCAGGACGCTAGTTAAATCAGGCACGGGGCGAAGGGCCTGTCACAAATTCATGACTGGTGGCAGGTGAGTACATCTCAGTTACAGGTAGGACCACGGATGTGGGAATGGGGCCATGGCTGGGCCCTAGACATTGCTAGATAGAAGAGCTTACAAAATCGGCCCAGGGCCTTCCGACCAAGGCAGTCAGGGCACAATTGATAGGGCCAGACTCATGACTTGTGACCCCCAGTCCTGTCCCCAGTGTGTGGTCACCTTCAAGAATGTACCCAGGCAAGTCCCTAAGAGTGACTGTCCCTCCCTGGGCTGACTGGAGAAGGATACAGGGAGTCCACTCTCCAGTGCACTGGTTAATGGCCAGAAGGAATTGGTTGGAGACAATCTATGGGGAATTTGAGGCGATCACTGTCACCCACAGCCTTCAGCAAACCAGGGTACTCAGAGTTTAAGTTCTAATGTAACACCACACATTCCACAAACACACACCCACATACTCATACCATATACACACACAAAACACGCTACATGCTCCAACACACATTCCATACATATACCCCCCAAAATCATACACACACACACACACTGTATACACATACAACACACCCCACACATACCACGCACACATCAGTACCTCAAACAAATCACCCACACATATAACCTATAGACACATCATACACATATCATACACACCACACCCACCTATCACACACATAAACAAATCACATACAAAGCATCCTTATACCACACACATTCACACACTCCACACACACCACATATGCATACTGTGTACATTCATACCCATACCACACCCACCACACATACACATACAACCCACACATATACTACACACCAACCGCACACGCATATACCACCTGCATACTACATGTACGCTCACACACCACATGCAAACACCATACATATCATGCGCATATATGCACTCTATACATGCATGCAGAAAACACATACACACCATACATACACACACCGTACACATTACACACGTCGCACACCAACCACACATAGGCACACATATTGCACATACACACACGACACATACAAAGATGAGTGAAGAAATAGTGCTACTAGGGTTCCAGTGCCTACATGCATGGAGTTATTACAAATGAAGCATGTGCAAGCATGGATGTCTCCGTGATCAGTGCGTGGCTGCAAACAAGCTCTCTCCAGCACCACACTTGCGGGCTCTCGCGAAGGGGCCCTTCCAGAGAAAGGTCCAGTGAAAAATAGCTTCTGGGTGAGTGTGCTGGGCCCTTCAATGGAAGGCACCCAGGTCAGCTCAAAAAATTAGGGCAACTATTCGTTGGCATTCCAACATTCATCTTGGTAACTTTTCTCCAAAGACACAGGACAATCACAGGGATTTATCATGAACAAGTCTGAAGAAAATTCAAACTCACATTGCTGAGAGAATGCAGCCAGGGAAACTGTGCGGAGCAATGTTCCCATCAAGACAATGCACTTGCTTGTTTTCTCGGGGCAGCAGGGCTGTTCTATGATCCTTCTGCTGGGAACTTGACCCCTTCCACCCCACAGCCTGGGTGTTACCGCTTCAAACTTCTTGTCGTTTTCCGAACTCAAAGGAACACGGCAAAGGAGGCTGATCTGAGTCCCACCGGGTGCTAACACTACTGTTTGGATGTCGTGCCAAAGCGTGCGGAATTCTTTGGGGAAAGAGTTAGAGAAATCGGAACACTGCCTTCAGAAGGATATAGACCTAGATCAGCGATTCTCAATCTGTGGGTCCCGACCCCGCTGGGGATCAAACGACCCTTTCACAGGAGTCGCCCGATTCATCACAGTAGCAAAATGACAGTGATGAAGTAGCAACAAAAATAACGTTATGGTTGGGGGGTCACCAACACAAGAGGAACTGTATGAAAGGGTCACGGCATTAGGAAGGTTGAGAACCACTGATCTAGATGGAAGATCTGTTGAGAAACAGTAACTTCACGTGTTGATATTTTTGCTTCATGAAGGTTCCCATGATTTATAGCACTACTTTTTTATTCTCCTGCACACCGCACACATGCACATACATAGTGTGCACACCACACACACACACCACACATGCACATACATACTGTGCGCGCAGCACAAACACACACCACACATGCACATACATACTGTGTGCGCAGCACAAACACATCACACATGCACATACATACTGTGCGCACAACACAAACGCACACCACACATGCACATAGATACTGTGTGCGCACTACAAACACACACCACACGTGCACATACATAGTGTACACACCACAAACAAACACCTGTTTATTTTTTCTCTGCTGGTTTCCTTCTCTCCCACCCTCTGGTCATCTTTCTGTGTCTTCCACAAGCCCCACCCCCACCCCCACCCCCACCGGCTGGTTATTTTCTCACCCCAAGTGTTTCCTCTTTACCTCTCCTTCCCTACTTCCTGACACCGTGCCCCGCCAACCCCCACTTTCCCATTTCGCCCCTTCTTTGCAGAACCTTTTAGCTGAAGCCTTTGGGGATTTGCAGCTGTGATGCCCAGCCTCCTCCTCGTGGCTAAGGCATGTGACCTTCCGCGGAGCATCTCAGGACTTCCTACATGGCTGATTCTCAGGAGCAAGCTGCCCCGATTTCCCTGCTGACCAGTGCTAAGCTGGATACTTTTCTTTGTCCTTCCACTTGTTTCTGTGTTTCAGCTTTTGCTCATAGTTTAACAAACAAAAACAAAACACTGACATTGCTGCCAGCCACTCCCTGTCTCTACAACAGGGGAGGACTGGCCTGTGAGTTTCCAAGACTGGGGCTCATCCCGGGAGTAGAAAACCCTGTCTTTCTCCTGCAGAGTGGCTGGTCTGTAGCAGAGAGAGAGAGAGAGAGGTAGAATTTTATTTGAGAGTTCCTGTCTATTTAGAATAGTTGGATAATTTTGCTATCAAGTATCATGTCTGTGTCTAAATAAAAAAGGTAGATCTCCATTGAGCAGGCATGTTCCATAAAAACTGATTTTCAAAAGGACAGAGAACAAGAAACTTATTTAGGGTTTTTAACTTCAACAACTAGCACCAACTATGAATCATTAAACCTGGAGGGAGGGGGTAGACAGGTTTTAAAATTTGCATGCATGGCTTACAAAAAAATCTCTAGGAAAAGTAGAAGCCTAAATTGGGCAAAAACACCATCGAGCAAATAGGATTTAATTACCCTGCCTGCCTCTCGTTTTCCGTGCCCATGAGTGGCATGGGCAGGTCATGTCTGCAGCCCCGGCAGCTGTTTGCAGCCATGATAATGAGCATGAGACAAAGGGCCAGTGAGTCTGAGTCCGGTGACATCATTCCGTCGCTAAACCCATAGCCACTGAGAAGAGCATTTTAAAACTAAAGTCTTGATACGATTAAGACCGCTGACTAAGGTCTAAGTTTGTCTTTCTCTTTTTCTATATAAAAGTTAACTTTATTATGGCCTACCATCATACAATAAAGTAGCTTCCAGAAAACCAAACTATAAATCAACTCAATAATAGACCATAATAGCAAATAATTTACGAACCCTTTGAGAGACCAGAATTTAACACTTGCAGGTTGTACCACCACTCTCTAAATCAAATGCCCTTAAGAATCTGTCCTCTTGAAAGTTTGAAGTATGTTGGAATGCTTTCTCCCACATGAACTATTCTATTAATATAAGACTTTCTCAGTAAAATTTCATTTGGGGGGCAAGATCACAACAGAAGTTTTCCTTATAAGTTGGATTATACATTACACACATTTGAAAAATACAAATGTAGATACTCATAAGGGCAGTTGTTTCTATCAGTTTTTCTCTGGCAATTAATACCTAAAATTCATACTTTAAATTTTTGTGTCATCTCCCCCACCCACCTGCACCCCCAAATATATCTTTCAGAAAGATTTTGAGTCTAAAATAGACTAAGGGGGAAGCCACTCAATAACTTTCTATATAAATGGCAGTTCCATGCAAAGTAATATATTAATATCTTTTTAAACTACTATGCTTGCAGAAAGCTTTGATAGGAAGCACAGCCCTTTTTTATAAGGCCCAGTAGAATCAATGAATACATTTCCCAGTGACCCCGGTTCATACACATTGATTGACTATCATTGCGTGGGATGGCGGAGGACGGACGTATTCTTTGCAGGTGCTTGTGTTTTGAAGACTACTACAAAGCAGGAATAAAAAACCAGCACACTGCCCCACGGAAGGATGATAAATCCAGGGTGCAGTTTAGCACTGACGAAACACATAACTCTCCTCTGGTTCTTTAATATTACCTCCCCTGACTATTATGGCTTTTATTTGTTTTACCTCATTAATCATGTTAGACTTGCATATGTTCATCTGTATAATTAAGACTGGCCGATTCACGTAAGCCAAGATAGATAACCCTTCAGAAACAGTAACAGGAGTAATGGTGCCCTGTTAGCTGACAGCACTGATGGCTGTATAACTCCGCCTGAGGGGAGCGATTGGATGTGAATGGATGTGTTGGATGGTGTAATATGTTGCAACACAAAAATGGGGGTATTGGGGAAGGCAGGGATAAGGGGAGCTGATATCAAGGAGTTCAAGAAGAAAGAAACTATTTTGAAACTGACTGTGGTAGTAATAGTACAATACTGCTTGGTGTGATTGAACTATCAAATGGTATGATAGCTGTAAGAACTCCCAATAAAATGATCTTTTTAAAAAGTCAGCACACTGGTTTCCTTTTCTGGCCTCGCCACAGGAAAAAATGTCTGTAGTTAATGAAGTTGAGGAGTGAGAAAGTTCTAGGTTAAGAGAAGAGAAAGGATTAATAGCCATGAGCTAAAAAGGAAAAGATGAAAGGTGATTTTTAAAAAATTCTTTTAAATACGAAAGTTAGATTCAAAATGATTAAGCCTGGCTCACTTGTCTACCACTGATGTGTTATTTGTTTATTTTAACAGTTGGATGTGTTTTTTTTAGACCAGTGGTTCTCAGCCTTCCTGATGCCGTGACCCTCTCATGCAGTTCCTCCTGTGGTGGGGACCCCCCCAACCATAACACTATTTCCGTGGCTACTTCATCACTATCATTTTGCTCCTGTGATGAATCGTCATGTAAATATCTGATAGGCAGGATCTATTTTCATTGTTACAAATTGAACATAATGCAAGCATAGTGATTCATCACAAAAACAATACGCAATTATATGGCGAAATATTTATTTCTAATGACAAATAAATGAAATTTTGTCTTGGAGCATGGTGTGGCATGGTTAACTGTCTTAATATAACAACAGTAAACCACATTGCTGCATTTTGCGACAGTATGTATGAAAAGCCAACGTCAGTGTGAAGGTTGAGATAGCTCTTTCTCATCAGCTCAGCATATCTGCATGTGGGCAGACCCGCCCGGAGACGGATAGAGGAGCGGGGTCTCCGTTCCTAAGACCATCAGAAATAGGTGTTTTCCAATAGTCTTAGGCGACTGCTGTGACAGGGTCGTTCGACCCCCAAAGGGGTCACGACCCACAGGTTGAGAACCACTGTTTTATAGGGTTCCTGAAACCCCGGAGCTCCTGATGGGGTTTATTCTTGCACCCTACCCCACCCAACGTTTTTATTGCTGCATAATACACATACCATACAATCCAATTGCTCAATCACATCAAGAAGAGTTGTACAGCAAAATAGTAATAGTTTATAAATTATCAAGGGTTCATGAGGGAGGGGGAAGCAGGGAGGGAAAAATGAGGACCTGATGCCAGGGGCTTAAGTGGAGAGCAAATGTTTTGAGAATGATGAGGGCAATGAATGTACCAATGTGCTTGACACAATGGATGGATGGATGGATTGTGATAAGAGTTGTACTAGCCCCCAATAAAATGATTTTTTTAAAAAAAAGATGAGTTGTACAATCATCACCACAGTCAGTTTTAGAACATTTTCTTCTTTCTTGTACTTTTACCATCTCATTTCCCCCCCACCCTCCCCTCCCATAGCCCCAAGGAACCATTAATTGATTCTATTACTCTCTCTAAAGACTTACCTATCCTGGATTTCACATACAGAAAAACATTTAAAAACAAACAACAAGAATAACAAAGTAAAACAGATAAAAACCTCCATTGAAAAGAAAGCCGCAAATATTAAAATCTAGAACAAACGTCATAAGGGAGATAAATGGTTGGGTGCTACATTTTACTTTAACGGCATCTGCAACGATCCATTTTCCCGTGCACTCTGCCTGGTAACAAGACTGTTCACATCCTGGTCCGTGGTCAGAGGGGATTCCTCAGGGGATTAACCCACGTGTATTTACCCTTTGCCTTTTTTTAACGGAAAGAGCTTTAAAATGGGTCTCCCAATGTTAAGATATTACATTTTTACTTAACTACATCTGCCATACTTGACTGTACCATGCTCACTATCTGATAACAGAGCGATTCACATACGGCAACTATGATTGGAAGGGGATCACCGGAGATTAGAACCACGTGTGCACCTGCAAATGGATTTTGGGCCTCCACTGCCATCCATCAACTTCTGCAAACCAGGTGGTCACAATTTAAACTCTGACGCCATTCCCTCCTTTAGTTTTGGATTCTGTTATTGGCAATCCTTGGATCACGCAGGCTGGTGTGCTTCTTCCATGCGGATGTAGTTGACATCTGACTTAGGTGGTTGTTTGTTTGAAAACAACTGATCTGATTTATTCTTCCCCCTCAATGGCGGAGTCAATCATGATGCTACCCTGGTCAACTTCCTCCTTTTTTCTTTTTTAGTGTCCCATTTTTATTAATTTTATTGTATCGGGGGCTCTTACAGCTCTTATCACAATCCATACATAAATCCATTGTGTCAAACACATTTGTACATATGTTGTCATCTTTTGCAAAACAGTTTCTTTCTACTTGGGCCCTTGGTATCGGCTCCTGGTTTTGCTCCTCCCTCCCCCACGTCCCCTTGATAATTTATAAACTATTGGCTTTTTTTCTTCATGTCTTACACTGACCACTGTCACTTTTCACCCACTTTTCTGCTGTCCATCCCCCTGGAAGGGGTGCCATACATCGATAATTGTGATCAGTCCCCCCCCCCCACCTTCCCTTACCCTCCT